GGGGTTTCGAATTTCAGGTTTAGGGTTCACGGCCCCAAGCCCTAAGCCTTCAAGCCTAAACCCTAAACCCTCAACCCTCAACCCTAAACCCTAAACCCCCCCAAAGTAGGCGTCTTCGACGAGAACGACAATCGTTTCTTTGAGATGCCGGAGTTCCTCGAGATGTCGCTTTGACTGAAGCTCTAGTAAGCAGGGTTGCGTTTTTGGGTCCTGGGTTTAGGGTCTAGGCTTTAGGATTCAGGGTTCAGGGTTAGGGTTTAGGGCTGCTTGAATAGTTTAAGTAGGCTTGTAACTACCCTAAACAAGATCATATTTAGGTATAGCCCTACTTACAAGTGCATGCATCCGAAGCTCAAGCCGAGGGATTGATCTGAAGGTCCTTCTTTAGGGTTTGAGGTTTGGGGTTTAGGGTTTAGGGTTTAGGGTTTAGGGTTTAGGGCTTAGGGCTTAGGGTTTAGGGGGTTTAGGGTTTAGGGTTTAGGGTGTAGGGTTTAGGGTTTAGGGCACCCTATCCCTTGGACCCAAGGCTCTCCTCCTTCTTCCACGGCATCGCCTCTGCCTTTGCCCTCGATGCCGCCCTGGCGCCCAAGAGCAGTAGCCGCTGGTCTGCCCTAAACCCTAAACCCTAAACCCTAAACCCTAAACCCTAAACCCTAAACCCTAAACCCTAAACCCTAAACCCTAAACCCTAAACCCTAAACCCTAACACCTAAACCCTAAACCCTAAACCCTAAACCCTAAACCCTAAACCCTAAACCCTAAACCCTAAACCCTAAACCCTAAACCCTAAACCCTAAACCCTAAGCAAGTTGTCCTTACTTTGAATACTCTCAAAACGCACCATGAGCTTCCAAGTAACCCCTGCACCCCATACCCCAAGACACTAAACCCTAAGAGCCAGACCCTACGCCCGACACCCTAAGCCCCAAACCCTAAACCCTGAACCCTGCACCCTGGACCCTGAACCCTGAATCCTAAACCCTAAACCCTAAACCCTAACCCTAAACCCTAAACGCCTTCCAGGCAAGCAAGCATTGGGCCGCAAGCTCTTCACCCGGAGCCTCGGCAGCTCGGGGTTTAGGGTTTAGGGTTTAGGGTTTAGGGTTTAGGGTTTAGGGTTTAGGGTTTAGGGTTTCAGGGCAAGTTATGAGTAGACAAAATCAAGAAGACCTTTCTTGGATTCGGATTGTAAACCGGCTTTCGAAGTCCCTCAGCCACAGGTCCTATAGCAAAGGGGGAACCCGAAACCCTAAACCCTAAACCCTTTATGCCGATTTATACCCAAAACCCTTTTGCGTTTAGGGCTTTTCTCTTACAGGTTGCAAGTTGAGGGGTTTAGGGTTTAGGGTTTAGGGTTTAGGGTTTGGGGTTTAGGGTTTAGGGTTTAGGGTTTAGGGTTTAGGCCGCCCGGCCCACCCCCCACGACCTTAAGCCCTAAACCCCCGAACCCCTAAACCCCTGAGCCCTCAAGCCTAGACCCCTAACTCCCTAAACGCCTAAGCCCAAAACACCCTAAAACCACAAAAATCCCTAAAACCTAAAGCCCTAAACCCCTAAACCGCTAAGCCCAGGATCCTACGCTCGGCAGCGGTGCGTCTTCCGCCAAGCCTTCTGGCGCGTTCAGAGGGCGGGTTAGGCTTGAGTGTTTAGGGTTTCAGGGTTTCAGGGTTTAGGGGTTTAGACCCTAAACCTAAACCCTGAACATCCCTGAACCCTAAACCCTAAACCCTGAACCCCGGTTTAGGGTTGAGAGGTTTGAGGGTTTCAGGGTTTAGGGGTTTATACGGGTTAGGTCGAGGCTTCAGGGTTTGTTGCTGCAAAGTCGCCTTAGGGGTTAGGGATTCTCCAGGCAACAGCAATGTGAGCCCTAAATCCCTAAACCCTCCCAAAAAGCCCAATGCCCGTTCATGAAGGAACCGATCACCCGGTAGTTGAAGGTATGTTCCTTAAAGGGCTCTCGCTCTGCACTCCAAGGTTTAGGGTAGTCTGATTTAGGAAGTTGAGGGCCTGGATCCGATTCCAATTCCGGAGCCTCGTATGCAGGGTGAAAAGGGAACACAATCTGCAGAATCTGCAGAGTGTAGGGTTTGTAGGGTTTTGGGGTTTTCCTAAACGCTAAACCCTAAACCCCCTACACCCTCATCCCAAAACCGCATGGTCTCCCGAGGTGAGGCGCAGGCTTTGCTGTCGCAAGGCGCGGCTCCCTTCTCCATCATGGAGGCCCCTTCGGGGCCGACAGGCTTTGGGGGTTTAGGGTTTAGGGTTTTTGGGGGTTTTAAGGTTTCTTTAGTTTTTTTGTTTTTAGGGTTTTTAGGGCGTTTAGGGTTTTAGGGTTTTTAGGGTTTTTAGGGTTTTTAGGGTTTTTAGGGTTTCATGGTTTAGAGTTTAGGCATCATGGAGGCCCTTTGGCCGGCATGTTCGGGTTGTTGGATTGTAGGGGTTTTAGGGTTTCTGGGTAAACCCTAAAACTCAAAACCCTAAACCCTGAAACCCTAAACCGTAAACCCTAAAACCCTAAAACCCTAAAACCCTTTAACCCTTTAACCCTTTAACCCTTTAACCCTAAACCCTAAACTCTCTTCTCTGTCATGGAGGCCCCTGCGGGTCGACAGGTGTTGGGGTCGTTCGGGTTGCAGGGTTGTTTAGGGTTTAGGGTTGAGGTTCTAGGGTTTAGTTTGGGAGGGTTTAGGTTCAGGGTTTGTTGGTGTGTGTTCTGGGGTAGTTGCATGGTTCCTTTTGTCAATAACCTTGTTTCACAGTTTTCTGCCCACCTAAGTGCCCATACTAAGGGCCCTTGGAGCCCCTGAGCTGTTTCCTTCCCCCCAGCCTCAGAAAAGGTTTAGGGCTTTCGGATTTACAGGGTGCTTGCGACTGTCAGCTTGCCCTAGGCCCCAAACCCTGAACTCTAAACCCTTTATCCGTAAACCCTAAGGCCTAAGCCCTAAGCCCTAACCCCTAACCCCTAAGCCCTAAGCCAGCCAGTGCAGAGGACTGGTTCCTCGGCGACACTGACGATCCCCTGGCTGCTCCCTTTGCCCTCTTTCTGGAACGCTTCGCGCCCCTGCCGCATAGGGTGAAGACTTGTTCAGGGTTTAGGGTGTAGGGTTCAGGGTTTAGGGCTATTTGGAGGTTCATGGGCAGTTATAAGTAGGGTTATAAGCGTCCTAAGTAAGGTTGTAAAGTATGGTTCAGCCTACTTCTAAGCCTACTTGTAGGTACCTGTGAACCTCCAAGTAGCCCCTTAGTTACGGGGTAGGGAGAGGGGGGTTAAGTATTCGGGGCCAGGGCGAACTGCTACTGTGTGTCCTGGCCACTGGCGACCTGGTGTAGCTTGAGCGTTCGATTGAGTTACTCTATGCTTCATGGTACGCCCTCAGCTCAACACCCTTAATCCTTCACCTTCACCCGCAAAGCCGAAACCCCGTCAACCTCAAACCAAGCACTGTCTCAGGCTGTTCCGGGGGAGGACGACGATCCGGAGATGTTCGAAGATGAAGACAGGACCGTTGAGCTGTTGGTGTTTGGGGTTTAGGGTCTTAGGAGTTGTCCAGGGTCATAGAGTTTGGGGTGACATTGCTAGCCATTGAGCATTGGGGAACGACATTTCAAGGTTTGAGGTTTAGGGCTGTAGTTGTTTGACCCGAAGCCCTTAGCCAACACTACGCTTTGGGTTTAAGGTTGCCTGAACCATTAACCCTGAACCACGAGAACATTCTGGGCGGTTGTGCTCCCAGCCTTGTTGGTACGAGGGCTAAAGATTGGTTTTGCCCTCACAACGTATGGCCTTGGGATGCTGAGATCACTTCGCTGAGCGGTACAGAGCTTCTGCAAAGCGGGTCTAGAAATTGCTTTGGTGGCTGCTGCGTGGGCACCACATCTTGGCTTGGCCTGGGTTGGAGCTGTCAGGAGGCTGGTGGATCCTAGAAGAGTTTCGTGAATGGTGAGCTTTCGGCTGCTGGCAAACGCAGCTGACCTCCGGTAAAAGGAACCATCTGCAGGAAGCACTGTCCATCTATGTTCCCTGGGAGACACTGCTGGGGCAGTGCGCCTTCATTATATGACTAGGTGTGGCTACGTGGCGCTTGGCATGATGCAGGTGTGTATTCTTTGCGGCAGCCGCTATTCAAACATGACCTTCCATCTCCTGCAGGCTTGCGCGTTTGGCTTGAGCCCACAAGCCTGTCCTATCGGGAGTTCGAACAAACCGACCAACCCAACCACACACCACCAAGCCTACTACCCAAGAACTAAACCACAAGCACCCCCGAGCGACAAACCCTAAACCCACTGAGCCCCCTAAACCCTAACCCCCCAAAACCCTGTACACATTCAAAACCTCCAAGCGTACCTCAAACCCGTTATTAAACCCTGTAAACCTGAAGCAGCCAAACTACACCTTAGAACCACAGAACGCCCTAAACCCTAAAGCCCTAAAACCCCAAAAGCCCAAACCCCAATAAACACCCAAAACCGAAATAAACCTAAAACATTATTTTACTTCGAACATCCAAACCTTAGGGATTTGGATTTGGGCTAGGGGGTCTCTGGGGTTGGGCAGTCTCTGAAGTTGGGCACCCCAGGGAGTCTCTGGGGTTGGGCACTCCAGGGTCAAGGCACTCCAGGGAGACTCTGGGGTTGGGCTCTAGGTTCTCTGGGTTGAGCACTCCAGGGAGTCTCTGGGGTTGGGCACTCCGGGGAGTCTCTCGGATCGGAGTAGACCGGGCGAGGAGAAGATTTCCGAGCGAGGAGAAGAATTGAGTTTAGCATCTAACAACCCCACACCGAAGGTGGGGAACAAAACCCTAAGGCCCTAAGACCTAAAGCCCCTACAACCCCTAAAACCGTAAACCCTAAAACCCTATCACCCCTAAAACCCTAAAACCCAGAAAAAACCCTAAAGATCTGAAACCCTAAATCCAACAAAACAAAAAACACAAAAAGAGATAAACAACAACCAAAAAAAACAAATGAAAAACACAAAAAAAACGCCCAAAGCGCAGGCGCTTCAAGCTCTCGCACACGGCGCCCGTGGACCCGCCCATGGAGACGGCCGCTTCCCTGGACTCCGCGGCTTCCCCGGCATTTTGGAGTTGTTTTGTTGCTTTTTGATTGTTTAGGGTTTAGGGTTTAGGGTTCAGGGTTTAGGGCTCAGGGTTTAGGGCGCGTAGAGAGGTTTTTTTGTGAGGGTGAAAGAAGTGGGTTTTCTAGTTTTGTTTTTTTGCTTGGGGGGGACTCCGCAGCTCCTTCCGCGTTTAGAGGAGGGCTTTCAAAGATTTTGAATAGGCCTTTACATTTTTTAAAGAGGGTTTTATGTTTTCTTTTTTTTAAGAGGGCTTTAGGAGGGTTTTCTGGGTATTTGTTTTTTGGAGGGGGCTTGACGTTTTTTGATTCCAGTTTTTTTGCGGATGAGGGGGGTTGGAAGGGTTTTTGCAGGGTTTCATGGTTAGTTTTGTTTAGCAGGCTATGTAGGGATTAGGGTTGATTCAAGGGTTATGGTTTCTCTAGGATTTATAGGTTGAAAAAGGGTTTATAGGATTGAAAGGGCTGAGGGCTTTGGGGGCCTTTGGGCTTGTGACAGCAGGTTTTATCTTTTTGTTTTTTCCTTTTTTTGGGGGGGGGGGGGGGGTAGGGGGGGGGGGGGTAGGGGGGGGGGGGGGGGGGGAGGGGGGGGGTAGGGGGGGGTGGGGGGTGGGGGGGGGGGGGGTAGGGGGGGGGGGGGGTAGGGGGGGGGGGGTGGGGTGGGGGTGGGGGGTTGGGGGGGGGGGGGGTGGGGGGGGGGTGGGGGGGGGGGGGGGGGGGGGGGGGGGGGGGGGTAGGGGGGGGGGGGTAGGGGGGGGGGTAGGGGGGGGTAGGGGGGGGGGGAGGGGTAGGGGGGGGGGGGTTAGGGGGGGGGTGGGGGGGGGGGGTAGGGGGGGGGGGGGGGTAGGGGGCGGGGAGGGACCAGTTGGAAGGTTCGTGTGTTGGTGGTTGCTTTAGGTGTTTTTCCTTTGGGTTTAAGAGTATTGTGGTTATTCAAGGGCCGTCCTAGGATACTCAGAAGCAATGAAGTAGCTCAGGTTCATGCAAACAGTGTCAGAACTACACTTGGTTCTTCAAGTCGGGCTGGGCCGTGATATCAAAACCCTGAGCGGTGTAGGGTTTAGGGTTTAGGGTTCAGGGTTCACGGCCCAACCTTCGCAGGCATTCCTTACGCGAAGCGAGATCGGCATTGCACGGGATGTGCTTGAGTTCTGCCGCTGGGCTGCTTTAGCACCCCCCCCCCCCCCCTCGGCAAAACCCTGGACTTGAGCCGTTCAACCCCGAACCTTACTTGGAGGTTCGTCAGTAATTCTAGTGGGGCTTATGCAGGTCGTTTGGTTATGAGATTTAGGGTCCTTACTGCAACACCCTACTGATATCTACCCATGAACCCTAAAGCTCGCCCTCACAGAGACAAACGGAGTCTTTCTCAGGCTTTTGGCTTTTCGGGCTGCTAGCTGGTGCTTTTGATATTTGTGTTTCTTTATTACCAGGGAGATCTCATGAGGGTTGACAATTTACATCAGCTTTTCTAGGATGCGGAGTAGGCCCGTATTTCCTTTTCTAGGGTTGGAGGGTCCCGTTTAGTCCAGCCCCCTTAGAACCAAAGAGGGTTCCCTTTGTATTCCTAGGATACTCCTGGGTCTAGTGGTTGTTCCTAAGCCCCCCCCCCCCCTCCCAAAGGAGCAGAGTGTTCAGGTATGTGCAGGGTTGGAGGTCTAGATTTTGCATTTGATGACGCCCAGGTCTCAGTGAGTGCAACTTCGCCATCAGCCACACGCAGGCGGAGCAAGCGATCGGCAAAACGATCGAGCCGCCTCTTATCGTAATCTGGGGCCCTGAATAGTTAGAACTGAGTTTTCGGGGTTATTATACCATAAGGTGATACTATTAGTAATTATTCCGACCCCCTACAGTACATCTTCCGCTTTTTTTGGTAGCACCTTAAGTAAGCCTAAACCCATCAGGTTACGATAAAACATATATCCCAACATTATACTAGAATAGCTTCTAACAATAATTGCAAATCATGTATGTTACACCAAGACCCTAAACCCCCAGAACTCTGAAGAACGTGTCGGTTGCTTCGCCCATCTACCCATCCTGAGCCCTATAAAGAGCTAGGTAGAGCCTCCTGAGAACGTACATGTTTCATCTACAGCCCAAGCGAATGTAAAACAACACATGACTGTCGGTATCGTTCTACGGTGGGTGCAGAAGCGGAACTGTACCTTGTTCCCTAACCTTAGCATGCTACATCCCGGTGAATTCCCAGGATACACTGGGACGTAGGAAGCGGACATTGGAAGCCGCAGGACGAGATCTTGCGTGAAGCCCTCAACCCTATAAACTGTATCCTTAGGGGTACTTGGAAAATGTGAAGCCCTCAACCCTATAAACCGTATCCTTAGGGGTACTTGGAAATGATTTTTATTTTTTGGGTACTATGATTCCTAAGAAACAGCAAAAAGCATATGATTTTTAATTTTTGGGTACTATGATTCCTAAGAAACAGCAACAATTACAATGTTTGCTGGGGTTCCAAGTTCAGTATAGTATCAACGCCAGAAGCCCTCAACCCCTGTAAAGCCGAAAGCCATGAATTCCTAAACCCTAAACCCGAAGCCCTAACCCTAAACCCTACAGGGTGGGGCCCCTTAGTTATAAGTAAGTTAAGATACTTATATGTAATTTAGAGCACTTATAACTAACTTATACACTAAGTTTGCTAAGTTAGTTAGCCAACTTATAAGTTGATTTATAAGTTACAAATGTTGTTTTTGCAGTAAAAATCATCATGCAGAGCCCATGTCTTAAAAGAAGAGGTTTTTGGGCGCTCTTCAAGAAGAGGCGTCTCTTGGCCCAGCAACGCCATCTCAAAGCAAGTTGGTGTTGCGGAGAAACGAAAGCTGTCTGGCTGAGACAGGAAACAAAACGGCTGCACGCAAGGACACAAAACGTTTAGCGCATGCGCTTGGGATGTGGGGATGTGTCCGCGATGTGTCCGCCTGTGCCCCGCGTGTGTCGAAAACCCGATGTGTCCGCGATTTATCCGCGATGTGTCCGGTGTGTCCGCCCCATTTTTTGCAGTGTGTCCGGTGTTTTCCTGTGTGTCCACCCTCTTTTGCACTATGTGTTCCCAATGTGTCCCCCGTGTGTGCCGGATGTGTCCGGATGTGTCCCCGACGTGTCGGTGTATATGTCCGAATGTGACCCGAATGCGTGCCAAGCCAAAGGCTTCGCAAAACACGGCCCGGCCCGGAACATCAGCTGTGGAAACTCCTCGAGATTAGAACTTGAAAAACAATCGTTCCGAGCCTATAACCTTGCAAAATCCTATATCTCACAGTCGCGAGCATGGATCTCATGAAAACACGGCTTTTTTAAAGCTAAGTTGTATAAGTTACTTATAAGTTGGGCACAAAAAAAAACTTATAACTAACTTATATCTTGGACAAATAATTAATAACTAAACCATGAACTTAACAACTTATAATTTATGTTAGGAAAGTTATAAATTGATTTATAGAGGTTATAAATCAATTTATAACTGAGGGGCCCCACCCTGTAAACCCTACACCCTAAACCCTAAACCCTTTTCACAGCCCAGGGACCTTTGGTGCACGAAGCTGATCCGGGCACTGCAGGACTTCGACGGAATGCGCGATGCAGGAGCCGGGACTCCCGGGTTTAGGGTTTAGGGTTTAGGGTTTAGGTTTTAGGGTTTAGGGTTTAGGGTTCAGGGTTCGTTAAGGGGTGTAAGGAGGGACCCCTAGAAGGCACCCTTAATCTTATTCCCCAATATCACCTTATATATACCTTTTATAGCCCCTATACACCTAAGTAAAGCCCCTAAATATCCCCTACATAACCCCTAAAGTCCCTTATAAGTGTCGCGCCTTCAGTCCCTTGAGTTCCGGGGGTTTAGGGTGTATGGTTTTGGGCTGAGGGTTTAGGGTCCAGGGGTAGGGGTTTCGGGGGTTGGGGTTTTGGGGTTTGGGTTTAGGGCTTAGGGGTTTTGAGGCCTGGGGTTTGGGGTTAGGGTTTCGGGTTCAGGGGTCAGGGGTTTAGGGGTTTAGGGGTTCAGGGTTTAGGGTTTGTTGGACTTTATGGGGGTGATGGTTTTTGACGGTTTGTAGGGGTTAGGGTTTTTTGGGTTATAGGTTTTTCAGGGTTGCAGGGTTTTTTTGGGTTTTAGGGTTTATAGGGTATATAGGGTTTAGGCTTTGCAGGGGTTTGTAGGTTGTTCAGGGTTTGCAGGGGTTTTCGGGTTTTAGTGTTTACAGCTTTTTCGGAGTTTAGAGGGTTTAGAGGGTTTAGGGGCTAAGGGTTTTGGGTTTGTGCTTTATTGTTTTGGGTTCAGGGCTTTAAAGGGTTTAGAGGGTTTAGAGCATTCACAGGGTTTATAAGGTTATAGGGCTTAGTTTTTTTTTTTGCTTCGGGGTTTATCGTTAGGTGTCTGGGGTTAGGGTTCATGAATTGGGGTTTCGGGGGTTAGGCCAGTATTTTGAGGGATGAGGGCTTGATAAAGCTTTGGGGTGGTGTCCCGGCTTTGCAAAAGTAGCACTCACATGGTTAACATTAAGGGGTATAAACAGGGACCCCTAGAAAGGACCCTTATTCTTCCCCTATATGGCCCATGTATAACCCCCATACATACCTTCTATAGTTCCCGACATACCTACGTAGCCCCTAAATGACCCCAAAAGGTGCCTTTTTGAGGGCCCCCCTCCTTTCGTCCCTTGATAGCAGGCCAAGTAGCACACACAGCAAAGGACAGTTAGAAAGAGCTCTGAGTAGTCTTTTCTTTCTAACACTGCGCGTGCATGTTTTGAAAGAGACTTCAAGCAAGCAAATCTGGCAGGTTTCGGGCAAGCCCTAAACCCCAAACCCGAACTAGACCCTAAACCCTAAAGCCTAAGCGCTAAACCCCAAACCCCAACCTTAAACCCTAAACCCTAAACCTTAAACCCCCAAAACCCTAGAAAGTCGGAGCGCCACCTTAAGATGAATCCCAGGTCGCGAAGCTGACGCTGACGGCCTTCTTGCGGAAGACCCTTCGCTCCGGTTTAGGGTTTGGAGTTTAGGGTTTGGGGCTTGGGGGTTGGGCTTTGGGGTTTAGGATTTTAGGACAAGTTATTTGAGGCTTTCAAGTGTATGGGGTGTAGATGGTTTGGGGGATTTGAGGGGTTTAGAGGGTTTTTAGGTTTGTGTTTTTTGGGTTCAGGGTTTTTCGGGCATATGGGGGCTCAGGGGGTTTAAGGGGTTGAGAGTTTTTTAGGGTTTGGGGTATAGGGGGTTTAATTAAAGGGTTTTTGGGTTTACTAGGGTCTTCTGAGTTAAGGGTGAAAGATCCAGGGGAAGGATCTAGGCGGACTACGCTTTTTTTCACAAGAGCAGCTACGCAAGCCCCCCCCTCCCCCCCCCATGTACCTAAGCCCCAAACCGCCCTACACCCCAAACCCTAAGACTTAGACCCTAAGCCCTAAACCCTAAGCCCCAAGCCCCAAACCCTAAACCTTAGGCCCTAAACCCTGAACCCCAAGCGCCAATCCCCAAACCCTAAAAATGAGCCGAGGATGTGCCCTCGCGCTGCTCCACGACACCTGCGGTGCCCTGGATGAAGGTATCCCTTTTGACAGGGTTTAGGGTTTTAGGTTCAGGGTTTAGTGTCAGGGTTTAGGGTTTAAGGTTTATGGTGTAAGGTTTAGGATTTAGGGTTTAACGTTTTGGGTCCCAGTCCTCCTGTGTGGACTTCAGCAAAAAGTGTGCAGCTTCAAAACCTCAACGCCCGCCAGGTTCAGCATGTAGGGTTCGCAGGGGCTCCAATATCGCTTTCTTAGGGTGTTTAGGGTTTAAGGTGGCAGGGGTAGGCGATGAAGTACAGAGCTGTAGTCCTAGCGTGTTAAAACAGAAAAGGTGGTGGCTACACAGCTTGCGATTTTAAGTTATCGGGGGCGGGTAAAAACGGTTCGAGTACCCAGAGCCCCCCGAGACCCAGAGAGCCCAATACTGGTACTCCTCAACCAAGGAATGCACCTTAAACTATCCTGTGCTATATCGTGGTCTCCCGATTAGGGTTGCTTCCGAATGGAAGCCCACGATTCTGCGAAGTTTCCCAAAGTAATGCTGTGGCCCAATAAGTTGTTTTGCTAGTGCGAAGTTTCGCCGGGCTTCATATATGTTCCTTGCACAAAAACGCGTCGTTTCCGTTTCCGCATCGATAGCCCACAAGCTGCTCGCGTGCACCCGCGGGGCGGGGGGGGGGGGGGGGGGGCTCATTGGTTATTCCCAAGTTGGAGCACCCGCTTTTTTTGCGCATATCATTCTCCTATTCCTTCTTTTTGGAACCCCAGAAGTGTACTACATCATATAACACATACACGCGGCAGTGTAAAACATAGACTGCTTCTTCAAACAGGCAATATATGTTCGGGAGGCCCCCGTTGGGGGCCCTGCCGATGAACCTGCAATTGGGCCAAGGATGTTTCAGAGCTGGCTCAAGGACGGTGGGGGTGTATAGGGTTTAGGGTTTAGGGTTTGGGGTTTGGGGTTTAGGGCGGACAGAAGAACCTGACACCCCAAACAACACGCATGGGTGGGGCTTCGATTACGAGTTGCCTCTTACGAGGAGTACTGGTCTACTGAATCAGTCGGTCAGCCTTTGAACCTAAACCCGAAACCCTAAATCCTGAACCCTAAACCCCTAAACCCTAAACCCCTAAACCCTAAACCCTGGACCTTTGCAAAGTCTTCGAGTCAGCAGATTAGCAAACGGACACGCTGCTGTATCATGGAACTCGGCCACCATTGGCGCTGGGCAGAGGATGGTTTAAGTGGGCCGGGCCACCAATGCGGGTGACTGTTGATTTCGAAGGCGGGCTCCAGGGGAAAGATTTCTGGGAGAAAGTTGGTGAGGCTGGATCCACTCTTTTGTCAAGAGCCCTTCTAATTGTCCAAGATGGCTTGAAGTCATCTGACTTCTCTCACGGCGTGATTGGCGCATGGACTTCAGAGAACCCAGCCTACTGCCCAAACTTTAAAATTCTGGGCCTTCGCGCGGTCTTCGAGTCTGCAGATGGAAAGTTGGCCATCCAATCGCATCACCAGCAAACGGCACGAGTGGGAAAGGGTACCTAGAAGCCTAAGTGACCCCCAAAAGTAGCCTTATTGTGCGCGCTGGGGTCCCTTGAAACCTTTTAGCCCCATGAAGCCCTAAGAAGCCTTGAATCCTCTGCCCCACACCCGCAACTCTACTTCCCCAACCCTAACCCTACCCGAAACCCCATAGTTCTTAAACACGTAACCCTCAGCACCCCTTCAACCCTTAACCCTCAACCCCCTAAACCCTAAACCCTAAACCTAAGCCCCTAAAACCCTAAAACCCTAAACCGCAAACCCCTAAAACCCTAAAACCCTAAAACCCTAAAACCCTAAAACCCTAAAACCCTAAAACCCTAAAACCCTAAAACCCTAAAACCCTAAAACCCTAAAACCCTAAAACCCTAAAACCCTAAACCCTAAAACCCTAAAACCCTCAACCCTCAACCCTAAACCCTAAACCCTAAAACCCTAAACCCTAAACCCTAAACCCTAAACCCCAAACCCTAAACCCTAAACCCCAAACCCCACCCTCCTCAAAAATTCTTCCACAAAACCAGAGGAGCTGGACCAGATTGAAGACCTCAAGGATGCCTTACAGCAGACCTGGGCTTAGAATCGGGGTTTTGGTTTTAGGGTTTAGGGTTTAGGGTTTAGGGTTTAGGGTTTAGGGTTTAGGGTTTAGGGTTTAGGGTTTAGGGTTTAGGGTTTAGGGTTTAGGGTCCCGAATTCCTACCCCCTACTACCCCCCTCCCCCCCTCCCTTTCGGGTTTAGGGTTTAGGGTTTAGGGTTTAGGGTTTTGTGAGCCTTGGGTTTTGGGTTTTCTGGGTTTTGGGGGTTGAGGGTTTGCAGGGTTTTGTGAGCTCTGAAGCAGATCTGGCCTTAGAACTGGTGCTCATTATTTGGAGGTTTTATATAGGGTTTTTTATGTTTTTTTTTAAAGGTTTTGTGTAGGTTTGTTTAGGGTTTTGAGGGTTCTGTAGGGTTCTTAGGGTTTTGGGGTTTTAGGGTTTGGGGCTTTAGGTTTTTTTTGGTGGTTTTTAGGCCTCGGGAGAGAAATGCAGTTTGGGTCTACCGGACGTTCATGGGAAGTAGAAACTGGAGTTGTAAGCAGGGTAACTGTAGTTAAAGCTGTTTAAGTTGAGAACCTTTTGTAGGGTGCACTTACGACCCTACTTGTAAACAGCCAGGATCCTTCAAGTATCCCTAAACCCTAAATCCTCAACCCTAAACCGAAATCTTAGGGTTTAGGGTTTAGGGTTTAGGGTTTAGGGTTTAGGTGCATCCGTCCTGCCTTGGAAGATTGTCGACGCCGACAAGAAAGAAGTGACGCCACGCGAGGGCCTCTCGGTGGGGGAGACGGTTGTGCTCAACTTCCAAAACAGAAGCACCCTAAACCCTAAACCCTAAACCCTAAACCCTAAAGTCTGCGATGAGGAAGACCTTGATTGCAAATGCGGTATCGATCCTGGCATCATGTATGGCCAGCGCCTCCTGGTCGATTTCCGTGAGAGGCTGGAGCACGGCCCGTCGCTTAACTTGGTAGGCTCTTGGGAGATTTCATACTTCCCCTTCTTGCGCTTGAGAGAATCATATTTAGGAATCCTTTTGCTGGTACATGACCTCATGGGCTTCGGAAGTCCTTTGTAGAACTTGCAGAGGATGCCCAAAATCCTAAATTCGAAGCTGCGGAGTAGGGTTTAGGGTTCAGGGTTTAGGGTTCAGGGTTTAGGGTTTAGGGTTTAGGGTTTACGGTTTAGGGTTTAGGGTTTAGGGCTACAGGCTAAACAAGTTATTTCAAGTTTTTGTTTGGGCCGGACACCTGAGACAAAGGTCCACCTCATCTATACAGTATGAACCCCTTTTCTTCTTGGGTTTTGGGGGGGGGGGCTATTTTCTTACCGAGCCCTCTTCTTGGCTCACCCGCAAAGGAAAGCCCGCATCCTAAACTGATGTGCTCCTAAAACCCTAAACCCTAAACACTAAACCCTAAACCCTAAACGGTCAAAGCCTTTGTGGCCAACTCAGGAGCCAGGGCGTCCTCGACGGATTCGTGTCCTACTTGTCCCTCCCAGCGACCCGGCCAAATGTTGCATTGGACATTGGGTTTAGGGTTTAGGGTTTAAGGTTTAGGGTTTAGGGTTTACGGTTTAGGGTTTAGGGGTTTAGGAATTAAGTTTTGGGCTTACAGAGTTTAAGGGGGCCAGAGCCCTCTCATTCATTTAGTTACCTGGTAGCTCCCAAAAAGATCCCACCAATTGAAGCAATAGCCAAACATACGATTACAGACCTGCATAGTCCTAAAAACGCAGGACCATCGGGGGATGTTTTGCAAGGCTTGCCCCACACCAGCAACACATCAGCCTGCAACAAAACCCAAAAACCCAGTGGCCCTTAAGCACACAAACGCCCGGATCCCTTAAGCCCAAAACCCTAGGGTTCAGGAGGCTCCCCAGCCCTGTCACTCATTTCCAAAACCTAAAGCCTCTAACCCCGAACGTTGAACCCTAAGCCCTGAACCTTGAACCCTAAACCCTACACCCTGAACCCTGAACCCTATGCGATTCCCGAATTACCGTACCAGTCGAGGTTCTTCCTGCCAAACTCCGTCAGGCCTTGGCGGAAGGCAGCCTTATCTTTCCTTAGTATAGGTTCAGGGTCTAGGGTTTAAGGGTTTGGTGTTGCTGGCGCCGAAGTTGCGAATATAAGGCCCCTGAAGAGCCTCGATGGCTTGGCAATATGCGAAGAGCTATGGTGAGGCCATCAAACAGTTTTCCACTCTAACTTATTCCTTTTTAGGGTGTAGGCCTAAACTCAAGTGACAGCAAGCCTTTCTTGACCAGAAATACACCAACTAACTTTCTTTAGCTTCGGAGCCCTGGCGCCAGCCCCCGAAAGGTTGGCCGCGGGGTGGGGGGGGGGGGGGGGGGGGGAGGGGCTTTTGGGGACCATCTGTTGTTCCGAAGAGAACAGTCATTTCAGCCTGGCCCCTTTCACATGCTGTGGGAGGCGGGCGAACGACCTGGGTCGGCCTTCGACATAAACGGGGCAGGGTAGGGCTTCAGCTCCCAAACCCGCAGAACTGTTTCTGGGTTTGGGGTGGAGCCATGGTGGTATTATATTGATCTGGTGATCCTGACGATCCATCTTGCCAGGAAACGAAATTTGAAGATAAGTCCAGGCTTGAGGTCCGGGTCCTTCCGGCCGAAAATCATCCGCCTCAAAACGAGGGAGTTTTTACCGACATCCCTTCAGCACTCAGTACTGAAAGCAACTCCGGGTCAGCATAGGAATCCCAAACTGGCGTGAGAGTCGGGTCGGGAAAACTTCGTGTTGGGTTCAGAGTTTAGCGCCCTGGTTGCTGCTTGTGTTGTAGACTTTCCCTGTTTGGGGTTTAGGAGGTTCTTGGGCATCAGGTTCAGTGGGTCTTGAGGGCAAACCGTACTCCCCAAGCCCTGAATCCGAAATTTTACACCTTGAACCCTGAAGCCTGAGAAGTCCTGACGCAAACCTTGTATTCCCCAATCCATAACCCTCAAGCCCCACATGTATTCTGGGGGTGAGTGCTTTGGGTTAAGGGTTAAGGGTTAGGGTTTAGGGTTTCTCGGTGGTCACATCTGTCCTTCTGGAATCGGCGCGTTTCGCCTGAGGCTTTCGGGGGAGTTGATTAGAGTGTAGGGTTTAGGGTTCAAGGTATAGGGTTCAGGGTTTAGGGCTAAGGCAATAGTTTGGGTGAGATCCTGATTCTTCCATTTCCCCTCCCAGCCCCCGGGATGCGTCCGCCCATAAGAGGAACGGTTTAGGGTTTAGGGTTTAGGGTTTTAGGGCCTACGGATATCTCTCAGGGTTGTTCTCATGTTACTTTCGTGGGAGGGGCTTTTGCATGCATGAGCGCTTGCCCTTTGCCGTGCAGACTTCGACTATGCCAGTGGGAACAGGCCATCAGACTGTGTAGTGTATTCTGGCGCTTGTTCCTAAACCCTAAAGCCTTAACCCTGTCAACGCTAAGGTTCATCTAAGGGGCAAGCTTTAAGTTCCATGGGTTTAGGGGTTCAGGGTTTCAAGAGCTGACGGCGCGGGATTTGTTGCGGGGATTCAAGATCCTCAGGGTTTAGGGTTCCGGTTTATCATGGGTTGTCGCTATAAATGGGGGGGTGTAAGTTGGTAACTAGAGTTATGTCTTTACGCAACAAAGCAACAGTTTTATCTGATGTCAAAAACCACAAACAATGAACATCTAACTACCGCAACACAATCATTGAAAGGAGATACTCAAATCAACATGTAAAGATTTGAACAATAAATTTCAACCTTATTCAGGTATGTATGACCCTACTTACAACTATCCATGAGCCTTCAAGTAGGGTCCAAGTTGCATGCTTTGAGGCTTCTGAGGTTTACATGGCAAGTCGTTGTTGTTTTTTGTTTTAAGGGGCCCGGGGGTCGCGGTTGCAGAGTCTTGTCATGCTCGATTCCATGCACATGTGCTGGACGTCGGCGCAGGTACTTGGAAGCTCTTTTGACGTAGTATGTCTACTTGTAACCCTATAGAGACTTGGGATGTTCCCCCTTATACTTCCAGTCCTTCATCGGGATTATAGTAGGGGCTTCTTCCCTTTGATGCGCAGTCTTGACACAGTCTGTCGTTGTGCTTGGTGCTCGACATGGAGTGCGAAACGAGGCTGGAGTTGCCGGGTTTAATATAGACAGATCCTTTCTGATTTACCAGACTGTGCTTCTTTGCAGGCCATACTTGCGCATGCAGCCAACCGTCCGGACTGCCTATCCCACCCCGCCTGCAAAGGACACGTGCGCGCCGAGTCATGCTCGTTTCTTTCACTTCGCCTTGTTGGGATATTGCCCGGAGCACGGATGCAAGCCCATGCGCTTTGCTGACGCCGCACTTTTCCCGAAGCCAGACCTTTGCCCCTACCTCTGTCTTTTGCGCAATCGTTGCAATTCTCCGGTGTCCTTACACCCAAGGTGGTGCATCGCTCGAAGCACCGGCGTCACAGTCCGGCACGGCCCCTGTAAGTTGCACCACGTAGGTTATCGATGGTGTCAGTGCAAAGATTTCATATGCTGCTCTTTCCTCGGCCGCGCATGCTGCTGAAACAAATTCACCTCACTGCTATCGTGATTTTGCGCGTCAGTTTTGCAACTATCTGAGGGCGGGGGCGGATGTGCAGCAGGCCTGTCAGTCTTTCATCTTTCTCTTGGCCTTGTCTATCTATCTGTCTCTCTATCTATCTGTTTGAAATTGAGTTCGCTTTGCCACATGCGTCCAATGATTTGGATGAGCGATTTGGTGATCACTATAACGCATGTCCCACTTTCGGCGACCTCAGGGCTTGCTCCGTACAGCTGGGGTCACAGCTTTTGAACGCGTACTCCAAACAACCTGAGGCCGACTCCAAAAAGCAAAAACGTGCAAGTCTGCAGTGGACCGCCTTCTGGTCACTGTGCCCGCATGCTCTTGGCGGCGCAAGTCATACCTGCTGCAGCTTCTTCTTTTCCTGGCGCCGACGCCGTCCCTTTTTTCTTCTGGCCTTGCGTGACTTGCCTTTTGTGTTTCTTGCTGGCCTCGGTCGTGCGTCACTTCTCCAAGCGTGCGTCTCCATGCATTGCGACGAAAGCTGCTTCCCTGTGTGATCCGGGCCCGTGCACACTGCAAGAAAGCAGAGCCTCGGAATGGAGTCACAGGAAAGAGGGTTCACGTGCAGGTTGCGTCCAAGTGAGGAGCGCAAGCAAGGTTCCCTTTGCGTTCGCACACAGAAGCTGCCAAAGTCCCTTTGCTGGCTCCTCCTACACTCCTGTCAAAGCCGTGCGCGGAAGGAAGCATTTGCCTTTCCGCGACGCGTCCACCCTTGTCGAGGGCATTGTGCTCTTGGTGCACGCAATGTTCGGGGTGATGGCCGCTGTGGCTATCGCGCGCTGGCGCTTCAAATGGGCGTGTCTTGTCAAGACATCATGCAACTGGTCTTGCGGTCCGCGCTGCAGCACCAGCACTTAGGCTTCTCCAATGCAGCCATTGGTCACTTGGCGCTAGCGTGTGACCCGGTACTATACTCCCTGTTAGGGACTGCTGTTAGTATAAGGGGGAACATCCCCACCTAAAAAAAACCCCATAACTCAACTTACTTACCCTACCTGCTGAGTCACATGGGCTTCCAAGTAGGGGTTGGGGCTTTAGGGCTTAGGGCCCCCATGCCCTAAGCCCCAGGTTTTACAGCTTCAGGGTTGAGGGAACCCTAAACCCCAAAAACCTGAACCTTAAACCTTAAACCCTAAACCCCAAGCCCTGAACCCTAAACCCGAATGACCCTAAAACGTGAATCCCCGATGCAGGACCCCGGAGCTACTCCACGAAAAGGTGCAGATGCAGCTTCATGGGGCCTGGGGCTCAGCCCTCTGAGTCGTTGGGGGTGGTTTAGGGTTTAGAGTTTAGGGTTTAGGATTTAGGGGTAAACCCCAAACCCTAAGACTCTACCCTGAACCCTGAGCATTCCTGTTGTAGGTAAGCACCCAAATATCCTAAACCCCAAACCCTAAACCCCGAACCGGCGGGGTGTTGCGGGGGCTTCTTTCGCATGTTTAGGGTCCTCTAAGGTTTAGGGTTAAGGGTTTCGGGTCTTTAGGTTTCAGGGTTCGGCATGCTCCGTAAGACAGGACCTAAGCCCTAAACCCTAAACCCTAACCCCCAAACCCGAAACCCGAAACCCTGAACCCTAAACCCTAAACCCCAAACCCCAAACCCCAATCCCAGGTTCGAACGGGAAGCATGACGGCCAATATCTTGGCAGGCCATGGCCCTGGTTTCCCAACCTCCTGGTGTACGCCAAGGGTTTAGGGAGAAGGGTTTAGGGTTTAGGGAAGAAAAGGGTTTAGGGTTTAGGGAAAAGTGTTTAGGGTTCAGGGTTTAGGGTTTAGATAAATTGTATAGGCCAAAAACGTTTTGAGTGAACGTTTAGAGCGAAAGTTTCTGTTCGAGAACCTAATTTATATGTTTTGGGGGCCTCCCGGCACTGGCTGGCCTCCTGGGACTCTTTGAGTGGGAAGGCCCCAGAGGTTTAAGCAAATTGAGCATTAGGCCTCCCAGGCGCTGTGGTTTAGGGTTTTGGGTTTGGGGTTTATATAGGGTTGAATTTAAACTCTGCTTGTCAGCTGTTTAGACGAATAACCTGGGGAAAATTCAAAATGATACCACATTTGTCTTGAGGGTTTAGACGTCTAGGAACCTCAACCCTAAACCCTAAACCCTGAATCGGCAACCTCCAAACCCTCAAGGGTTGGGGCTTGGGGGTTTGGAGTTTGGGGTTTAAGAGCCTTGAACCCGAGGCCCTAAACCCCGAACCCTCCTAAGCCCCCCCAACAAAACCCCACTCTCTAAGAGTAGTTTCATGGCCCCACTCTCTAAGAGTAGTTTCATGGACCCTTGGTATGATCGCTCACCTCTTCTGAAGGTTCTGATGCAAGGGCTTTTAATTTGTCTAGAGTCTATAAGGGGCATAAAAGGGGCACCCTTTTAAGGGCCCATACTAAGGGACCATGTAACTACCCCTAATCATTCTCTTCTTCGCGCGCAGGCGGCATCGACAAGGACAGCTACATCGCTCGCGCCTCAGGGTCCAGGGCTCTCTCAGAGCTGAATAAAGCAAGCATAGGGTTTAGGGTTTAGGGTTTAGGGTCTAGGGTTTAGGGTTTAGGGCATAGGGTTTAGGGTTTAGGGTTGAGGCCTTAGGGTTCAGGGTTTCCAAAATCCAGTAGCACCCCTGCTTGTTTTTTGCTCTCTTGGGGCGGGGGGGGGGGGGGGGGGGGCGCTCAGCCGTTTCGTGTTTTTGGACCTAGTACAGAATCCGCCGTAGTTCCCAAATCCTACCGCCTAAACTCTGACCCTCGCAGTCCATGGACCTCATAATTATATACTTGGGCCCGAAAGTCCCTACATAGGAGGTGCTTTCAGGCCTAAGTCTTCCCTATCTGGGTACATGGACGCTTAGGGTGAACAAAGCAGCGCCCAGATGGAAGCCAGTCGGTGTGCCCTCTGCCCTCCGCTCCCCGCCCGCCCCCAGGTGTAAGGCTGCAAGGTTTCTGAAGCCACCCTAGGCCCTGGGTTTAGGGTTTAGGGTTTCGGGTTTCGGGTTTCGGGCTATGCAACACCCTAAACCCTAAACCCTTGTCATAGAATCTTCTTAAGAGCTGGTGGCGTTACATGGCCTCCTTTGAGAGTTTCCTAAGCTCTAAACACTAAACCCCTAAATTCCAAAAAAACCCTAAACCCCAAACCCTAAACCCGTAAACCCTAAGCCCTAAACCCTAAAACCCTAAACCCTAAACCCTAAACCCTAAAACCCCAACCCCTAAACACCAAGTTCTAAACCCTAAACACCTAACCCCCAAACCCTAAAACCCTAAACCCCAACCCCCCAAACCTCAAACCCTAAACCCAAACCCTACACGTTCAAACCCCTAAACCCCCAAAACCCCCCACAGCCCCCTCCCCCGCCCAACCCTAAACCCTAAACCTTAAACCCCAAACCCCCTAAGCCCTAAACCTTCAGGCTGCCATGTGCCCCTTCGACTTTCGCCTCAACGAGGGCCATCCGGTGGTCAACGACGTGGTCAGCTCGCTCCTGAAGCGTGAGGCCCGAGGGGGGGTCTCTAGCCCTAAAACCCTAAGCCCTAAACCCGAAGCCCTAAGCCCTAGACCCTATAGACCCTAAACCCTAAACCCCAAACCCTAAGCCCTAAACCCTAAACCCTAAACCCTATCCGCCCCTCCCCCCACCCCCCCCCCAAAAACAAAAAATAAAGAAGGAGGAAACACAAAACAAACAGAAGCCCTTAAGCTTATTATGCCTTCTTGAGAATTGAGCCTGGGCCCCAGCCCTAAGTTTCGCAGCCCCAGGCCACGGTTCGTAGGGTTTAGGGTTCAGGGTTCAGGGTTAGGGTTTAGGGTTTAGGGATTAGGGTTGATAGGGATGGTAGTATCCCCCTCCCCCATTATCTTAAGCACTCTTAGTATAAGGGGGAGCATCCCAACCGTTAGCTTAAGAACCCCAACCCTCCTCCAAAAAAAGAGAGAAATCACAAAGATTTGCTATTTCGTTTCAAAAGTGTTTAGGGCTATAAACATATAAAGGCACTACAGGGGTGATTGTTTTCTTGTGTTTTATGTATTGTCTTTTTTTTGTTTGGGGGGGGGGGTGCTTGAGCAAGTATCAGAATTTTTCGGATTTCGGGTTGCCCTAGACCTCGACTCAGGTTTAGGGTGCAAGTCCCTGGCTTCGGGTCTTTGTTTGGCCGAAAGCCCCAAGCCCCGGACCCCAAATTCCTAAAGTCTATGCCCTAAACCCTTAACCCTAAACCCTAAGGATCAGGGTTTGAGGCTCAGGGTTGTGAGGGCAAGCTCTTGCCAGGTCTTCCGGCAAGAGGAGGTCATCAACCAGAAGGAGAAGTCCTTCGCAGCAGAGCTGCATGCAGCTCCGGGTCTAGCCCCAAACCCTAAACCCTAAACCCTCAACCCTAAACCCTAAACCCGTATAAGTAGATGGGGCCAGGGTTCGAGCCCGTTTTCCGTGCAGAAGGCTTAAGAAGTCCCTTCGAAGCATTCGCAGCACCCCCAGAGCTGGAATACCGTTAGTGATTGTACCTGGTCACGGCTTTCGCTGCTTCTGAACATGATTTGGGATGGTCTGGGATGGCGCGTTTGCAGGTTTGGGCACAGGACCCCTGCCATGGCTGCCAGACCACTTGTCGCGATGTGCCGATGGGGGTTATCGGTAAGATTCAACTGATTCAACGGATCATCGCACGGTCCCTTAAACTTCCATCTGTTAGATGTAAGGTTTCCAAGAGGTCAGGGCTCATACTCAGAGGCCTGAAGCCCTAGACCCTAAATTAAACCCTAAACCCTAAACTCCAAGCCCTAAAAAGGATGATCACGGACTGATGAAAGAGCAGGCGACCCCCAACCCTGAAACTATAAACCCTCGTCGACGCTCTGATCGTAAACATAAATCCAAAAAGGGTCCCTTAAGTTTCCAAAGCCCTAAAACCCTAAACCCCAAGCCCCTAAAGCCCTAAAACCCTAAAGCCCTACAACCCGAAAGCCCCCAAACCCTAAGCCTTTAGGAACCTAAAACCCTAAACCCTAGACCTTTGGGTTCCCTGAAGCTGTCCAGGGTTTAGGGGTTAGGGTCTAGACCCTAAGCCCTAAACCCTAATCCCATCGCTGAAGGCTCCCCGTGCTGCATCGACAGTGGCGAGCAGTCAGCGACGGTTTCTGAAGCAGAAGGCGTCAACCCTAAACCCTAAACCCTAAACCCTATACCTTGGGATGTTCCCCCTTATACTACCATGCTGCGTAGAATTATAATAGGGGGTTCTAAACTCCCCTTTGAGGACTGTCAGCATTAAGGGGAACATCCCAACCTAAACCCTAAGCCCTATACCCAAAAATGTCAGGTTGTGGCTGTCAGGATTTGGGGTAGTTCGCTAGATTAGGATGTCAATATAGCACGGCACCCTATTCAAAACGGACTCCCGAAAATAGAGATCTCCCGTTTCAGGGCTCAGGGGTTTGGAGGTTTCAGGTTGTGAGGGCCTAAACCCTAAACCCTAAACCCTAAACCCTAAACCCTAAACCCTAAACCCTAAACCCTTGAGAGGTTCAGAGGGTGGCCGGGGACTGCAGGTTGGGTCATAGGGGCCTAGGGTTTAGGCTTATAGAGTAATTCAACCCTAAACCCAAAACTCCCTAAAGCGCGAACACCCTGAACCCGTGGGTTTACAGGTTGATTTGGAATTTTCGGGGATAAAGACAGCTGAAACAGGAGTAGATGAAGACAGTGCCAAGAAATGGAGCATGCCACTGGTTGTTTAGGGTTTAGGGTTTAGGGTGTTGACGGTTCTGGGCGGGCAAGGCCTGATGTGTGGCTGCCTAGGCCTACTGTGCTTTCCAAACTTCGCAACCTTGCTTTGCGGCCGAACGCGATGCGAGCGGATTCAAGGTCATAGTATTCCGCACTTTTGTAAAGCGCTAGGAGGGCCGCTTTCATGAACTTTTATACCTGGACCTGGAGTTCTATTTTTGAGTACCTCATCCGATGCAAATTCATCATTACTTTGTACAAACCACAGACTTAAAGTATCCCAAAACAGAACTGCAAGAACAGGTCTACATAGCATTTGCCAGAGATTGAGGGTCGTTCAGTCCGCAGGTAACTTCGAGGGTTGATAGGCTCGTTCGTCTTCCATCGTCCCATGTTTTAGCGGAAGGAGGGGTTTAGGGTTTAGGGTTTTAGGGTTTAGGGTTTAGGGCTTCGGGTTCATTACTACGAGGGGCTTCGGTTTTCGGATTTCGGGCTGAGGGTTCTTCAGGGGTGAAGGGTTGAAGGTCAGGCTTCCAGGTTTAGGGCTTATGGTGGCCCCGAAGCCCTAAACCCAAAAGCTTACAAACCCTGAACCTTCTCGACCCCAAACCCTAAACCTTATGAACCGCAGACTTCCTAAACGTCCCAAATCTCCCTAAGCCCTCAACCCTGCGAAGACTCTGGGCTTTATTTGTTTTTGGCTATGGGTTCCCTTACAAAGTAAACAACGCAAGAAAGGGTGCCCCTATGAACTTCCTAAACCCTAAACCCTAAACCCTAAACCCTAAACCCTGTAGACTAGACCCTACACACCGTTTTTGATTCTGGGCTACCAAGCTCGCGGAGGTGCCAGAAGAGACCTGGAATCTTTGGAACGGAGCTTTCGACCAGCTCGACGCGGATGGCCTCTTGTCTTAAAGGGCAGTGGCAGGTGGGTGTAATTAGGGTTTAGGGTTTAGGGTTTAGGGTTTGGGTTTAGGGTTTAGGGGTTTAGACCAGTGCAGGGCCCCACGTGGAATGTTCCACTATCGAACCCTTGCTGAGGAGGTGGCGCGTGCGGAGCAAGCTGTAGTTCTTGCGACGGGCGGCAGAAGATGGCGAAGCCATGGGTTCTGCTGATGCCTCTTCCAGCTCATCTTCTAGTTCGTCTTCCAGTTCGTCTTCTTCGAGACAAGACTCGGACGGCCCAGATGGTGGGTGAAGAAACATCTGCAAATCAGGTCGCGTAGCGTCGTAGAGCTTGCACAGGTGTATGTCACCACATTAAGTTCGAAACCATTCCCTGAAGAAAGCATAGCAAGCAGCAGCAGCAACGCTCTTTCCGTACTCACGAAGCCTCAAACCCTAAGCTCTGCTCGCTGAAAGTGATACGTAGTTCTCTTGTGCGGCTACAATCCATACCCCTGCTCTTTAGGGGCGGTAAAGATCACAACGACAAGCAACTGGAACTTGAAAAACTGCACGGGGCTTGGGAGGCGGGGACACGAATTCGACCATGGAATGCTCGTGAGACCTAAGCTACGCTTGTGCTACAGGCTACAGAGCAATGAAAACCCAGCGGCTCACGGAAACATCGATTCCAGCACGAAGCTTGCACTACAGTGTTTCTACAGAGCAATGAACTCCCAGCCTCTCACAGAAACATCGACCCCCAGTACTAAGCTTGTACTACACAGCAACGAAAACCAGCCGGCTCACGGAAGCATCGATTCCAGTACTAAGCTTGTACTACAAAACAATGAAAAACCAGCCGGCCGAGTCCAGGACTGTGGACACATGGCCAGTACTAGAGATGTACTACGGTGTGGTATCATAGCTTGTGTCATTTACCTTTTAAGCCGGTAAAGAATGTGATTTTGCGATAAGGTTTGCGCTCGGGTACTTGCGTTTATGACGGGGTTTTTTGCTAGCCCACATGTCCTCCACCTAATGAAGCCGGTGCATGATGCAATGATGTCTAACGAGCAAGGATACACCGAACCCTACCCGAAGTGCCCACAACCAAAAGCCGCAAAATCCCCAAACTCGACCTAAAACCGTACACCCCCCTAAGCCCTAAACCCTAAACCCTAAACCCAATACCCTCAAAGGCTTTCGGGTGTGGCTAATGTGATTTCCTTCGGTGTCCTTTGAGTTCAATGTGTCTTCGAAGTAAGGTCTGCGGTTTGAGAAGATGGGAGTTTAGCAAAATAAGGGACCCCAAAAAGGTACCCTAAATTTGAGAACCCCCCCCTATTGGGGTTTATAATTAAGGGACCCCCAAAAAGGTACCCTAAATTTGGGGACCCCCAACCTATTGGGGTTGAGAGTTTGGGCTTTAGGGGTCGAAGGTACAGGGTTTGGGGTGCAGGGTTTGGGGCTGGGTGAAGATTAGGGTTGTCTCCTGCGTCCAAGAAACATGGAGGCAGGATACGCGTGACAGGTGCCTTTGTCACCAAATCCTGGAAATCCATTGTCACGTTTGATGTCGCTTGTTTTTGTAGCTGGCAGGTGTGGAGTGGAGGAAGGTAGGGAGATAAGTGTGTTCTTGCCCTTTTTGGGGCATTTTGGCTCCTTTAACTTGAAAGCTCCAGGAACGACAAAAAGGCATCCGCATCGCGGTATGATTTCTGCGCCATCAAGCAACCACAAACTCTAAACCCCAACCATACACCAACCAGCCCTAAACCCCTCAACCCGAAACCCAAAACACTTACGTCTTGACAGCTAGAGCACCAGGTCGTGACGCGGTGAGTTTCTCCAGCCTTCAGAAGACTCGCGGCTTGACCGGGATTATCTAGGGTTACTTGAAGGTTCATGGGTAGCGAGAAGTGGGGTTACAAGTAGTTTAATTATTTTTACATCTGGTTACTTATCACCCTACCAATAGCTTCTCAGAAAGAGGCACTCTCTCTACCCATGAAGCTTCACGTAGCTATAGGGGGGTTATAGTATGCTACTCGTACACCAAAGCAGGTGCCCTTGAACTTAAGCTGCAGGAGACTGAAAAAACTCCCAATATTCTCCCCTTGTGATCCCGATGAAAGCACAGTACAAACGACCCCAAAACCCCAAATACCCATTCTACCCTACACCCGACCTGAACCCTTAACCCCCAGGCCGAAACCGGAATGAGTTTGGCCCCCTTGTTAGACCCAAAGCTTTCCGCACTTCTCCGGAGCACGTGTGTCCACCAAGTTGTCCCACACTAAACCCTAAAGCCTAAACACTATACCTTAAACCCCAAATCCTAAACCCTAAACCCTAATCCCTAATCCCTTAACCCAAATCCTAAACACTAAGCCCTTAAGCCGGGTTTAAGGTTTGGGCCATCTTGCTTTTGCCATATCCTTAGCACGGCTTGGCTGCTGTTGTTGGTACTGTTGGATGATGATTTCCGTGGCCCCCTCCCCCCTCCTCCAGGGAGACTGCACGTGTGGGTGTTTTAGGGTTTTTTTTATTTTTTTGGGGGGGAGGGGACGGAATTTGGTGGTGATGTTGTCAAAAGGAACTCAGAAGGAATCAGAAGGCTTCCTTGCACAAATTTCGCATCGCCAGATTTTCTCAATTCCGGACGAAGTCAATTGATCTCGCTGGGTAATTTCCCCGGTTGTGTTTTTTTGGAATTCCGGGGGACCGCACTAATCAGGATACAGCAGTGCAGGCTTGGCACCCTTATTAGAGTATGGTTACTCGACCTCCAAGTAGGATTCAGGGGAGGGGGAGGTAGGGCTGCTGGGAGAGGTTGGGCTTCAGCAGCTGTGCTGTGTGCGCTTTGGGTATTGGTGTCGACGTTGGTCGCGGCATGTGCAAATCTGTATACCCCTCCATGTATGGGCATTTCCCCGAATTGGCATCTTACCTGAATATATTCCCCAACATATTTGTTAATCCCTAAACCCTAAACCCTAAACCCCTAAACCCTTCCTGCCTTCCCAGTTCGGGAGGCTCTGTTTTGCTGCCGCCTTTTGCTGGCAGTTCTGGGGTGAGCTTGGTGATGTTGGTGATGCTGATGGTGATGATGGTGCGGGTCTTGATGGTGATGGTGCTGACGGTGATGTTGATGGCCAGAATTCCCCCAAGCCCTCAGCCCTAGCCCTGAACCCTTAAAGCCTAAGCGATGCAGGTGCCAATAAAGGTGGGAGGTCGGGGTACCCGTAAACCCGAAACCCTAACCCTAAACCCTGCACCCCACGCCCTCAGCACAAAACTGTTCTTTGGGTGTTTTGCCAAAACCCGAAACCCGAAATCCTAACCCGAAACCCGAAACCCCAAACCTGCCTTTCGAATGGTCGAGGTCTCCTGCGCTTGGAGGTGGGTGCCTTCCTGCCGACTACCAAGCTGGGGGGGGTTTAGGGTGGAGGCTTTAGGATTTAGGGTTCAGGGTTCAGGGTTTAAGGTTCAGGGTATTGTGGTTTTCTGGGATCCTTCTCTAGAACTTTGTCCTTAGGGGTATATTGGTGGTTACATTGTCGTCGCTTGGTTGAGCTTACCCAACTTTGGTGCATCCTTACTTCAACGTGATGCGCTCGCTCGATGTCACTTGCAGTATAAACCTAAACCCTCCTCCCTAATCCCTGAGAACAAACCCTCAAACCCTAAACCCTAAGCATTCTAAACCCTGAACTTGAAAACCTGATGCTATTCAGTACATATGTCGACACCCCTGTGGTTCTCGACGCTGCCACGTTTAACATATAGGGTCCTTAAGGAGGGGGGTTCATGCGGGGGGAAGGTACCTAGGGAACCTCAGGGAAGCTCAGGGAACTTTAGGGAGTAGTGGGTATTCGGGAACCTTGGGTTGCATACCCTCTTGAACCTCCCCCTCCCTTAGGACCCTATAGTTGTTTGTTGGATGCGAAGATTGCGCGATCTGAGGCAGGATCTTCATTATTATAAGCATTGCTGAGTGTGTCCTTTTGGGATACTAGTAAACATACCGCTTCAGCAGCCAGGCAGATTTTTTCCGGTTTTTGGTTGAGCTCCGGTTTTGCAGAACACACCTGACCTCTCGACTTCTACGGTCTAGGGATATTTAGGAGAGCCCTAAACCACACCCCGGTTGCTGGGAAGCTTCACAACCCCCAGACCCCTCAACAAGCTCCACGAAAGCCCTGAAACCAAAGACCCCCCCAAAAAACAAAAACAAAAAATGCCCTGTTCCCCGAGGCTTGACCCGAAACCCAAAACCCTCAAATAAGTCCGCAACGCCTGAATAAGCACTAAACTTCTCAGGCCCTTAAGCCCTGAACACCCACAAGCCCTGAACCCCTGCATAGCGAAGCCATGTACCTAAGAAACGGACCCAAGAATTAAGGAGCATTTCTCTTTTTTAAGGGGGCAAAGGATACTCTAGGTATATAAACCCATTTAACGCCTCCACCACCTCAAACTTGCAGCCTTCCAGCACCAACTTAAGAGTCCCCTCATACTGGAGCCTAGAGGGTTTAGGGTTTAGGGTTTAGGGCTAGGGTTTAGGGTTTAGGGTTTAGGGTGTATAGGGTTTAGGGTTTAGGCATCTACTACCCGAACTAGACGGGCCACCCCCTGAAGCCCCTAGACCCTAAGCCCTCAACCCTAAACCCTCGACCCCAAGCCCGAACAACCCGCACGTAGCCCCTTCCGAGGTGTGAGCTTGTTGTGCCTGGGGGCCCGCCCGACACAGAACAGAAAAGGCCCTGGGGTGCGGAAAGTGCTTGGGGGTCATTCGGGGGTTTCAGAATTTGGGTTTTGGGTTTGGTGTTTAGGGTTGGCTGGGGGGCAGTCGGGGGAGGGGCGGCAAGGGGATTGAGCGCAAACGCGGTTGTTTTGTTGTGGTTGGGAGCAGGGGTGGGTAGGCTCAGGGTTTTGAGGGTTGTTTTTGGGTTTGGAGGGGTCTAGGGTTTCGGGTTTTTAGGTCTGCGTTTTGGGGTTTAGGAATTTAGG